TTTCTTTCTTTCTTTCTTTCTTTCTTTCTTTCTTTCTTTCTTTCTTTCTTTCTTTCTTTCTTTCTTTCTTTCTTTCTTAGGGTAAGGTAAATCTTCCTGTAATTATGTTCTCTGAGCAATTTGCTGGCTAGCATGCTCTTAGTTCTTTTAAAAGCAAAAGTGTTCCAACACAGAAAATTCATAAGAGTAACCAAACCTATACATCACACTGTTTTTAGTTTCACAAGTTATTACTCAGAGGAGACCTACACCTTAAAATGTTTGTGGTTTATTGCTTGTCACTTCCTGTGCATTAATAGTATGTTAGCAATTGTTTTTGGTAGGTGGAGTCTTTCTGAAGCAATGATGTATTTTTTCCCTCTTGGAAATGTTAGAAATCATGCATGAGAATGTCAGGGAACCATGGAAAGTTCGATTACATGTCACTAAAGTGCATGTGTGGGTGGCTTTTTGATATATAACTACAGACCGGTGTACAATGATGAGACATTCATGACACATTGACAACTCAAAGGGACACTGCTAAGCTTGGTAAACACCAAACTCCTGCTTTTCCTGTTCTTGCTTGTTCTCAGATTCTTTTTAGGTGCAAGGTTTTTCTCAAAATAAATGCTGTGTCTCATCACCTTTTTTGCCAAGTACAAGCAAAAATAGAGAAATAATCCAAGCTCCAGCAACATGCAACTCCGAGCAACTGGAATCAGAAATTAGTTTGTGTTCATAACGGATTTGGCCGGGGGGAAGAGTCAATAAGGAAACTACCTCCAAGCTTTACCTATAAATGGTAAAGTTGGAGAGGGAAAGGAGAATGTGAATTGGGAAAGTTCTGTGACAGTCTTTTTAGTACAGCAGTATGAAACAAATTCTATAATTCCATTTATGCCTTTATTCAGTGTCTGGGCTTTGTTTTTTGTTTTAGAACTAGAGTATATGGCTTTAAGATAGATAAAGATGCCTCAATGTCACTTGAAAGGGTAACTTTCTAAAATAGCAGCCTAGGAAAAAGTGGTTAATTGTTTCCACATCCTAAGAATGAACTATTCTGTAATTGTTTGTCTGAAACGAAGGCTCAGTAGCAGCCATTGAGGGAATTAGATGCACCTGTTTTTTTTTTTTTTTTGAAGTCTTTGTTTGGACTGCTGAGGAATCACTTTAGTTTTGCCCTCTAATTGTAACTATTCTATTTGAAATGCCAAAATAATCATTGCCAGTTTGCCAGAAATGTCTTATTACTCCTTGTCTCCCATTCACTAGTAGCCTCCTAATCCTTGCAAGCTGCTGATGTGATTGGTTTTTTTTTCTACTCCCTGCCCCCTTTAAACATTGCCTAATCATGAAAGGTTTTCCAATTATGTCTAAATACATAGCACAGATTAGTTCATTATTGTTGAATCCTCTTAATTGGGACCCCCTGGTGGACATCCCATTGTCTGAATTAAGCACCTGTCCCAATTAAGAGAAGCTTTCTTTTTTTAAAGTGCTGATTGAAAAAATTTAAGTTGAAACAAAAATATTGTACTGACTCATATTCACTGTATTTCCTCTTTGTATCTCCTAGTCAGTCAACTTCAGTATTAAGACTGGCACTTAGAATTTCACTCCCATTTAATGGTTCATTAAATACCAGTTAACCACTTGGCATTGTCTGCTTGCGTCCCCATTAAATGGATTTTTTGTTAATATTGTCTCAATTAAGAAGCACTCCTTGCCATTTTCTATCATTAGGCTGAATCTGCTGTCTTTGTAATCAGATGGTGTTTTGATGGATTGTCTCTGTCTTCCCAAATAAGTGAAGTATACTGTGCTTGAAATGCTTTGCCATGAAATTTATAATGCTGGTTTTGTAATTCCAGGTGAAGGACCTAACAAAATATCTAGACCCCAGTGGACTTGGAGTAATCAGCTTTGAAGACTTCTATAGGGGAATCAGTGCTATCAGAAATGGAGGTTAGTTTATTTGCTATTACAATATGAACAAAGGAAAGAGATGAAATTTAGAACTTCAAGGAGTAAACCCTCTAGACCAATTGCTTGGTAAAAACAGTTCCTGGGTTTCCTGATCCCTTTAGAAAGCTTATAAACCTTATTTAAAGTATTAATGTTGTGACACGAGGTCCATTGTTTTCTGTATTGTATGAAGAACAAGGCAGACTGGTTTTAGACGCACTTAAAAAAAAACTCTGTGCTACTACATTGCATTTCACAACTAATCAGTAGGGCTGTCAAGTGATTTAAAAAAAATTAAGCACGATTAATCGCACTGTTTAAATGCAAATAGAATATCATTTACTTAAATATTTTTGGATGTTTTCCACTTTTTCAAATATATTGATTTCAGTTACAACACAGAATACAAAGTTTACAGTGCCCACTTTATATTTATTTTTATTATAAATATTTGCACTGTAAAAAAACAAAAGAAATAGTATTTTTCAATTCACTTAATGCAAGTAGTGTAGTGCAGTCTTTTTATCCTGAAAGTTGAACTTACAAATGTAGTATTATGTACAAAAAATAACTGCATTCAAAAATAAAACAATGTAAAACTTCAGAGCCTACAAGTCTACTCAGTCCTCTTTCTTGTTCAGCCAATCGCTGAGACAAACAAGTTTGTTTACATTTGCAGGAGAAATGCTGCCTGCTTCTTGTTTACAATGTCACCTGAAAGTGAGAACAAGCATTCACATGGGACTGTTGTAGCTGCCGTCGCAAGATATTTACATGCCAGATGTGCTAAAGATTCATATGCCCTTCATGCTTCAACCACCATTCTAGAGGACATGCGTCCATGCTGATGACAGGTTCTGCTTGATAACAATCCAAAGTAGTGTGGACTGACGCATGTTCATTTTCATCATCTGAGTCAAATTCCACCAACAGAAGGTAGTTCAGGTTCTGTAGTTTCCGCATCAGAGTGTTGCTCTTTTATGACTTCTGAAAGCATGCTCCACACCTCTTTCTTCTCAGATTTTGGAAGGCACTTGGGTCGAGTGCTGTAACTATCTTGAGAAATCTCACATCTGCAGTGAAAGTATTCTTAAAATGAACATGTGCTGAGTCCTCATCCGAGACTGCTGTAACATGAAATATATGGCAGAATGCGGGTAAAATAGAGCCAGAGATATACAATTCTCCCTCAAGGAGTTCAGTCACAAATTTAATTAATGCATTATTTTTTTAACGAGCATCATCAGCATGTCCTCTGGAATGATGGCCAAAGCATGAAGGGCATACGAATGTTTAGTGTATCTCGCACGTAGATACCTTGCAATACTGGCTACAAAAGTCTCATGCAAACGCCTGTTCTCACTTTCTGGTGACATTGTAAATAAGAAGTGAGCAGCATTATCTCTCGTAAATGTAAACAAACTTGTTTGTCTTAGCGATTGGCTGAACAAGCAGTAGGACTGAGTGGACTTGTAGGCTCTAAAGCAGGGGTCTCAATGTCCCGGCCTGCAGGCTATCTGTGGCCCGAGAACCTCCCCACTGCAACCCGTGGAGGAGAGACGCATGCAGCCACACTGCCGGCAATATCTGCTACATGCACCACCCCCTGCCGCTCCCATTGGCTGGGGGAGAGAGACAGAGATACCATCACTAGTTGCTGGGCAGAGTCAGCCATGGAGGCAGTGTCACTTTTTTCCACAATGAATATAAACAAGTCAAAATGCCAAACACAACTATCTGAGGAACTATGATGTGATTTGGAATAACAGAGACTTCATGGGATAACTCACATGACTGGAGTACTGTCAAGGATGGATATAAACTGTTCAGGAAGAACAGGCAGGGCAGAAAAGGTGGGAGAGTTGCATTGTATGTAAGAGAGCAGTATGACTGCTCAGAGCTCCAGTATGAAACTGGAGAAAAAACCTGAGAGTCTTTGAATTAAGTTTAGAAGTGTGAGCAACAAGGGTGATGTCATGGTGGGAGTCTGCTATAGACTACCAGACCAGGGCGATGAGGTGAACGAGGCTTTCTTCCGGCAACTAACAGAAGTTACTAGATCACAGGCCCTGGTTCTCATGGGAGATTTCAATCACCCTGATATCTGCTGGGAGAGCAATACAGCGGTGCACAGACAATCCAGGAAGTTTTTGGAAAGTGTAGGGGACAATTTCCTGGTGCAAGTGCTGGAGGAACCAACTAGGGGCAGAGCTCTTCTTGACCTGTTGCTCACAAACAGGGAAGAATTAGTAGGGGAAGCAAAAGTGGATGGGAACCTGGGAGGCAGTGACCATGAGATGGTCGAGTTCAGGATCCTGACACGAAGAAAGGAGAGCAGCAGAATACGGACCCTAGACTTCAGAAAAGCAGACTTTGACTCCCTCAGGGAACTGATGGGCAGGATCCCCTGGGAGAATAACATGAGGGGGAAAGGAGAGCTGGCTGTATTTTTAAAGAATCCTTATTGAGGTTGCAGGAATAAACCATCCCGATGTGTAGAAAGAATAGTAAACATGGCAGGCGACCAGCTTGGCTTAACAGTGAAATCCTTGCTGATCTTAAACACAAAAAAGAAGCTTTCGAGAAGTGGAAGTTTGGACAAATGACCAGGGAGGAGTATAAAAATATTGCTCAGGCATGCAGGAGTGAAATCAGGAAGGCCAAATAACACTTGGATTGCAGCTAGCAAGAGACGTTAAGAATAACAAGAAGGGTTTCTTCAGGTATGTTAGCAACAAGAAGAAAGTCAAGGAAAGTGTGAGTCCCTTACTGAATGCATTGTAAATTGAGTTTGAGACGCCTGCTCTAAAGTTTTGCATTGTTTTGTTTTGTAACGAAACAAAAAATCTACATTTGTAAGTTGTACTTTCATGATAGAGACCTCACTAAAGTACTTGTATGAGGTGAATTGAAAAATACTGTTTCTTTTGTTTATCATTTTTACAGTATAAAAAATATTTAATCAAAAATAATACAAAGTGAGTACTATACACTTTGTATTCTGTGTTGTAACAGAAATCAATATATTTGAAAATGTAGAAAAAATATCCAAAAATAAATTTCAACTAGTATTCTATTGTTTAACAGTGCGATTTTAAAACTGCGATTAATCGTGATTAATTTTTTTTATCACGGTTAATATTTTTGAGTTAATCGCATGAGTTAACTGCGATTAATCGACAGCCCTACTGATCAGAAGTGGGTTTTCATAAATGTTTGCTGAAATTAGTGCAAGTCTAGTTAGGAAAACTCACTTTGGATTTAGTATATATTGAATCTTGCAATTTTCCCATGGGGTTGGTCAATAAAGGCACATAGTCAAGTGATTTTAATGGAGTGCTTGCAGTGCATGGCTAATTCTGGATTAGGGTGTAGGACCTTCTAAATTGCTAATGCAAATCCACTAATTTTTACTCTAACCACCAGTGCACATAGCATGTGTAAATAACATCTAACAAGAAGCAGATGTAATAAGATTCTTCTGATCTTTTACTGTTTGTAATCTTTGTCATATAATATCTTTTTCGGTATTCTAGCCAACTTGTATTGTAAACTCCTAAGGGCAAGATCATGTCATGTTTGTCAGTAAAATGCCATGCATGCCTATAGTGCTATATAAATAATCTCAATGAATCTTCCACAAAATGACCCTTCAGACATGAGGATGTCTTCAGAAAAGAATGTATAAAGGAATGCTATTTAGCTGTTACCTGTATGAAAACAGTATTTTAGCAGTTCTCATTGGGGCAACTGGATATTATGAACAGAACATGAAATGATTGTTTTCAGCCCTTTTAGAGTACATTTTCTGTTTTTAATCTTTAAAATGTTGAGAAGGGGTATTGATATATTCTGCATGAATTATGTAAAAGTATCTTGTATATGTATTTTCCTCCATAATTGTTCCAACATCATTACTTACTCTGGCGTAGAGAGTAAATTCTGTTGCTGCTCACCTGCTGCTTACTTTCATGCGTGGTCAGTGAGCTACACTGACAGCAGGGAAGGTTAAGCATATTTTAGAGCCAAAGTGGTTTGAATTCATTGTTTCATTTACTATAGTAATTGTGTGTGTTTAAAATACAATACAGTTCTTACAGCAAATAACTTGCACTAAGCTATTAAGTTAAGTTAACATAGTACAAGCATCCTGATTGGCTAATAACTTAGATTGGTTAATTAAATCACACAGTGCTTTAGTATCATGTGCTGCAAAGAGCTGCAGGAGACTCATTTAAAGAGCCTCAGTCTGAGTATCACTGTTTTAGAGCAACACAACCACAAGTGTGAAAGGAGTCTGTTTTTTTTACTGAAACTCCTTTCGGAAAAGTCTGGTTCCATGAATAACCCTTGAAGGTGGGAGTGACTTATGGTCACTGCTTAGATTGCTTGTTGGCTTTATAACCATTCAGCACTGAGTGACATCATTGGTTTTTCCTTGGGAGTTTCGAATCTAAATATTTACAGTTCACTGCAGATTATATAGCTTGAAGGCTTGGTGTGATGCAGCTCTTTAAGAAGAACTGCTCTTGAATTCTGAAGAGGTAGCGAAGAAAGCAAAGAGCCATTAATCTGAGAAATTGCTATCTGAGAAGAGTGTGCATTAACTGAGCCCTGGCTAATGTTTCTCTTCAATAATTCAGTTCCCTGGTGTTGTGTTTTTTAATTGGATAGAAGTAGCAGGCCCCAAGACGTTAAGACCTTTCTTATTGTGACAACATTAAACAATTTAAAATATGGTTTGGATTGAGGTTTTGCAACTACAGAGTTTTGCTTATTCACTATAGCAAATACACAACAAATTCCCTTAAGTTATTAATCATAGAAGCATAAGAAGAGACTCAAAGCAGGCACGGGATGTTTCTTAATGAGTCTGAGGATTGAACAATTATCTATTTTCAATGGTTTCAAGCCTTAAAGTCCTTCAGAGGGTTGATTACTGATTGGAGCAATTTGCTTTTATCAAACATCAATGATTTAGATAATGGTATAGAGTACAC